TATATAAAAAAAAAAAAAAAAAAAAAAAAACAGATAAAGAAAAACATTTTATATATAAATAAAAAATATTCAAATGATTTAATTAATCTTTATTAATATTATTTAAAAAAGACACAATTCTTTATAGATACTAAATAACGATACACATAAATATATATATATATATATATATATATATATATATATATATATATATATATATATATATATTATAAATAAAAGATGTATTAATTTATACATTTTATAAAAATAAAAAAAGATTAAATATTTTTAATGTGCTTCTATAATTAACATAAAACTAATTTTTTAATTCATAAATTAAAATTTATAAGTATATATTTATAATAGACATAAATTATATATATATATTTGACATTAATAAATTTTATATTATTTATACCTAAAAAAATGTAAATTATTTAAAATATAAAAAAAAAAAATTGAAATATGCACACATAATTTTGATATATGCATTATTTCTTTATATTTTTTCGTTAAATAATTTTATTTTAAAATTACCAAATTTTTTTTTTTTTTTTTAATAATTTTAAAATTTTAATATTTTTATTTTTTTTTTTTTTTTGCAATTTTCTAATAATTTTCATTATAAAAGTTATTTTGATTATCTAATGATTCCAAACTACGATTATTCATGCCATATAAAATGTTTGAATTATTTGCATTAATTGGATAATTATTCTCATAATCAGTCATTAAATAATTATTACGTGTATATGTGATATCATTCTTATAATCATTACTTACTTCACAGTTTAATACTTCATTATTATTATTATTTAAACTATTTACATTGTTTAAATTATTTAGATTATTTAAATTATTTGTACTATTTATATTATTAAAATTATTTAAATCATCAGAATGGGATATGTTATTCTGAACATTTAAATTATGCATAGGTATATATAAGTTATTTTTTGCATAGTTCAAGTTATTAACTGTATTTAAATAACTATTTGTATAATAATTATTCACATAAACATTGTTATTATTTGGAGTATTATAATTTATTATCATTCTTGAATCATTACTTTCATTAGTATTATTAATATTTAAAGATGTATTAAAATTAGAAATCATAAATGTTTCATTATTATTATGTAAGGTATAATTATCATTTGCATATGTACAATTAAAATTATTTAAAGAATTTTCTAATTTATTTGATAATGTATCTCTTCTTGTTATTACGTTACTATCTTCTTTTTCATTTAAATTATCAAGATGATTGTTACTTCTAAAATCAGAACTACAACTACCATTATAAAATTTTCTATTTTCTATATCATTATCATTGTTATTATTATCGTTAGAATTTTTTTCATAATTTATTAAAGTATCTGTGTTATAACGTGAATTCACATTACAACTATCATTATTGTCTTTGTTATCATCATTTTCCATATTTTTATTTATATCATTAAACAAGTTGCATTTCTCTCTATTTTTATTATTTTCATGTAATGAATTAAGTGAATCATAAGCATTAATTGATGACTCATGAACATTTTTGTTGTAACTTAGTTTTGAATCATCGATATTACAATTAACAATAGTAGTAGATTTATAAAGAATATTATTATTAACTAAATTATTAGCATTTTTTCTACAAATACCATGAGAAGAAACAGTATTATTATCAAAAGATTCATTATCAATAACATTGGTTGAATTATCAGATACGTTACTTCTATTATTCTGTATACAAATTTGACTTAAATTTTCATCTATAGATTTAGATGAATTATTATTTGTATGATTAATAATTTTTTTATTTATTTTGTTTGCATTTTCATTGTTAGAATTTATATGATCATTATATTTATCAGTTTTAAAATATTTTAAAATGTGAGAGGGAAAATAATCTGGATTATTGATAGAATCAATCGATGAATCATATTCAAAGTTGTTATTCACTGATGGGATATCACTTTCATTGTAATTATTAAGAATTTTTCTTTTTTTTTCATTGTTTTTTTCATAAAATTCTTTACTTTCCTTTATATAATCATTATTTTTTTTAGTTAAAATTTTTTCTAAAACATTATTATGAGTACTTAAAGGTGAAGAATCTCCATAAAACACTCTCATTCCATCATTATGTAACTTAAATAAATTTCTTTTGTTTATATCATTATTTTTTGCTCCATTTATGTAATTTTTATTGTTTTCAAGAGAATCTTCTTTATTTATTTTTTTGCATCTAACAGAATTATTTTTTTCTGGTGTACATAATTTTTCCTTTATTTCTTTATTTTTATTAGAAACAATTTTTTTATTATTTTTTACATTTTCATAATATACATAATTTTCATTATTTTTTGCATCATCATATTTTTTTATTTCATTACATATATATTCAACATTTTTTTCATAATTCTCTTTATCTATTTTCTGATTGTTATTTTGCAATTGGTTTTCTTTAATTTTAACATTTTCTTTATTATTACTATTTACTATGTCTCCGTTTTTTTCTTTATCTTCTTCATCTTCAATGAGTTCATCTTCAATCTTGTTTTCATTTTCATTTTCATTTTCATCACTATCTTCCTCATTATTGTAATTATTATTTGTAGTTATTCCTTTTTTAGTTTTCGTTTCATCCCAATTTTTATTTTTATTTTCAAACTCATTTTCATTTTTCTCTTCATCTTCGTTTTTGTATTCATTTACATGATTTTCCATTATTCTTTTATGTTCATTCAAGTTCACATTTTCATCTTCATTATCTTCTAAAGAATTATCTTTTTCTTCATTTTTTTGTTTATTTGTATAATATTTTAGTTTGTCTTGATTTTTGTTTTTTATTTTTTCATGATGATTCCCCTTATATTGCTTTTGGTAATTATAATTTTGATCTTTCTCATTAATGCAATTTGTTTCATTCTTTTTCGATGTACTTTTTATAATATGTTTTAACATTTTATTATTATTATTATTATTAGAATTATTTATATAATCCCCTATATTTGTTTTATTACAAAGAGAGGAATTAGATAATAATCTATTATTAATCATTTCATCATTAGAAATTTCTAAATTATTAGGATTCCACAAACAATTAAATGTGCTATTCTTATTGTTATATATTTCATTATTTATATTATTTTTAATATCTTTAAAAATAATATTATCATTATTACACAAACGTATTGTATTAGTAGTATTTGTTAATGCGTTCTGATAACTTGGTAGATTTTGTTTGGTAGGAATAAAATTATTTGTCTCCTTGTCATTTGTATTACTATTATTATTATTATTATTATTAAAATTGTTACTTAATTTGCTAAAATCATTTAACATTATTTTTTCAGAAGTGTTTTTAATTTTATCATAATTTTGAATTGCATATAATGAACTATTTTCAATGCCAACATTTGGAAGTACATTACAATTCTGTATATTATAATTTCTTAAATTAAAATTTATATTATTTGTTGAATTTGTTGATGAAATTATTGATGAACACAAAAATTGAGAATTGTTCATATTATTAAGATGAAGATCATTCTTATTTATATCATTTATATTCATATAATTTAAACCATTATTAGTATACTTTGTACATGGGTGTTGCTTACTATCTATCAAGTAACAACTATTCTTATTCACATCTGTCGTAAGGTTATTATTATACAAAATATTACTAACCTTTTCATCATTATTATTATTATATGTATTTTTATTATAATTATTGTTATTATTGTTGTTTCTGTTATTATTATTATTATTATAATCACTATCTATATTCTTATTATTTTCACCATTACTGTTATTGATATTATAATCATTTGTGATATTGTTACCATTTAAACTGTTGTTATAATTATCCAAAATGCCATATGATGGAATGTAATTGTTAAAAGAATTATTAATAGTATTGTTATTATAAATATTATTAATAACAAAATTGTGTTCTTGTGAATTTAACAAAAGATTTTTTATAAAGTTTTTTTTATTCACAAAATTTATATTGTCTATATTATCTAGACCACGATAAAATGAATTGCATTTATGTGCACTTTTCAAAGAGGTAGGGAAAAGTATATTTTCAACATCATTATTATTTATAACATTACAATTATTATTTTGATTGCATATCATATTTCTTTTTAATATTAATTTTGATGCACTATTCAGGCAATTATTACCAACAGCTCTCGGATAAATGTATAATTGTTTGTTCATACAATTATCATTGTTATTAGAAATTATATTATAAGATGGATCAGAAATATTAATATTTTTATTAAAATCATTCATGTAAGTAATACTTTTCATTTTTAAGTCATTATCATAATTACCGTAATTAATGTAAATATGATTTTTATTATTTAAACTATTACTATAATTATCATTATTAAAATTATTACTATTATTTAAGCTATTATAATTATTATTTATATGATTATAATTTGTATTATTTACATTATTAAAACTGTAGGTATTATTATAGGTGTTATAATTACTTATATTATTATTTATACTATGATAATTAATGTTTATATTATTATAATTGTTACTATTGCCAACATTACTTATATTATTATCATGGTTAATAATTTTATCATTATTCTTACTGTTATTTGTTTGTTTTCTACTTTTCTTGTTATTTAAAAACATTCCTTCTGTTGAATGTGGACTATAAGGACAATGTTCTTCATGATTTACTCCAGATAATTCTAACCAAACTTTGTTAGTTTCATTATCTTTAATAATTCTAAGTCTACTGTTACATTGTGAGTTCAAAATGCAAACAAAGTTTCTAACATATCTTTTCCCTGTTACGCTACTATTCAAATATTTATATCCCATTGCTGTTGCACGATCTTTTCCTTCTTGTATATTTACGCATACATCTAAATATTCCCATTTGAATCTATTTCCTGTATTTTTTTTTCTTTCATCAAACAATTCATTAAAATTTATACATATTGGTCCTCTTGCTTTTATTTCTATATTGGTATTATTCATATCTACTTTTACTAAAAAACTTCCTACACATGCTTTATGATTTGTGCACATAAAATTGTATATTAATTTATCAGCTACTATTATACTTTGCAACTGTAAACCTAAACTTTCACATTTTTTAAAACCTATAAATTCTGATTTACACATCATTATAAAATCAAATATACCACACTTATCTTTTTCAAATCGATACTTGACTTTTCTTTTTTTTCTACTTTCTTTTTTCCACATTTTTAATTTGTTTTGCTCTCTTTTCGCTTTTAATAAATTCACTTGTTTTTTTATCCTTAACAAATTTTCATAGGCATGCGAGATAGGAATAATATGTTTTTCATCAGTATCATTTTTACTTATCTCATTTCCTTCAATTTTAATGTTTTCATCATTATTTATTATATTATTTTCATTATTTATACTAAAATTTTCTTCATTTTTCTCACTTTTATTTCTTGTGTGATATTCATTCTTAAAAGTATCAGTTATTTTAGGGGAATCCCTAACATGCACATCTGTGAAATTTATGGAATTTTTATTATCTATTTTCTCATTTTCTCCTTTATTTTTAGTGTATAAAATTTCATTCTCTATATTATGTTCATCGATATCTATATTTCTTAAATCACATTTTTCATTAGTAGATGATAATGCTAAATTTTCTTTATTGATATCACTTGAATGATTCTGAAAATTATTTTCATTATTGATATTGGTATCATTTAGGAAGGTCTCATTATACAAATGAACTTTTTTTAAATAATTTTTTTTTTCACATTCATTTTCATTGTTATTTAATAAACCATTATCATTATAATTATTCATTTCTTTATTGTATGAAGGATAATCATTATTTTTATCATCTTTATTTAATAAAAATTCCATTTCATTATTATTTCCATTATGTTGATATTTCAAGATGTTTATCTCATTAATATTTATCACATTTTGATTTTCATCTAATAAACCTTTTTTTTTGTCTGTTAATTCATATATATCATTAATATTACCTTCACTTATTATTTTATTATTAATTTTTACTTCATTTTCATATGTTAAAATATTATTATCATTTTTATCATCTTTATCAGAGCAATCTTTTTCATTTCCATTAGTTTTATCCCCACTATCATCATATATATTTGAATTTTCATCTAATTTGTAATTTAAATCAAATTGCTTTATTTGATTAAAATTATTTTCATTTAATACTGATACTCTTCTTGTAAAATAATGTGCATCATCATTCTTTATTAAATTATATGAGCTTTTCAATAATATTTTTTTATCTTTATTATTGTTCGTCAAATTTGATAAATTGTCTTTTGTATTATTATTATTATTTTCCTTTCCGTTATGATCCATTATTTTCTTTCTTTAAAATTTTTTCTCTTTTTTAATAGTATTTTTATTATTCTTATAAATTTCTAATATTTTTCGTTTTTATAAAAAAAAAAAAAAAAGAAAAAAATTTCAAAGAATAACTAAAACTTAAAAGCTTCTAAGAATTAGTTTTTTAACATAATTAAAAATTCACAGCCTATTAAAACTTAATAGCTTCTTAAAACTTCATAAAACATTAACATATTTATTAAAAAAACAGGAAAATAATAAAAGAATGTTATAAATAAAACAATGAAAATTAAAAGAATTAATTTAACTTAAAAAAATGTCATTATAATAAAAAAAAAAAAAAGGTAAAACAAAAAAATGATAAAA